TCTGGGCGCTCGGGGCCGGGCGTACGTGCCCCAGCGGGCTCCGGGGTTGTCCGCAGCGCTCGGGTTTTCCCCTGGGACGCGTATTCCCCAGGCGCCCCTGCAGCGTCACTCCTTCCGCAGCTAAGCCAAGGGCAGAGGGGCAGCCGTGCGAGAGGCCCGAGGTGCGACCGTGCGTGGCTGTGCCGCGGCAGGGCTGGGGGGAGGCATCGCGGGGAGTTACAGCTCAGAAGAAGTAATGTGGCCCTGCCACAGCTCGATTACCTCACGGTGTAGGGCCAGAGGGTGACAGCGGCAGTTGCGTGGTTTGTGGTGGGGGAAGCTTTTGCTTTCCTTAGTCTTCACATGGTGGGTGAGCGTAGTGGCAAAACGCTGAGGAGACTTTGCTGTGGAACAGCAGTGTCTTGGCCCTGGCAGGTCCCCGAGTGCTGCAGTTACTCAGATACAAAACCTGAGTACCGGCAGAGATGAGTAATGCTCATAAAGTGAGGTGCCTGACATCATGATCTTTCCATTTGAAGACATAATGCATAGCGCAACTTCTGTATCTTAGAGGTATATGGGCTTCATTTACGTAGAATCAAAACAGGTGCATTTCTGTCAGTTACATGCTTCACCTTGCCCTTCCGAGGAGTAATGTTTGTACAGTCTCACATCAATTTAAGCTCATTTAGCCTGTCATTGCTGTCACACACCTCTACCCTCTCAAGAGGTTCCAGTTGTCTCTTGCTCAGATGCCTGATTTCCTTAATGGTGACTTAATGGTTCAGGGAGCTTTTCTGGCTAACAAATAACTTATTTTTGGTGTGGTTAGGCTTCGGCCAATTCACCGTGCAATTGTACAAGTGTCAGCATGAAGTAAAGGGGTAGGATTGAGATGTAGGAGGGTGGGAGCATAGCAATCCTGATATACTCCTCATTAAGCACAGGTGTTGGGTGTCTGTTCCTTCTCCTTTGTCCTCAATTTTTTGGTCTCCTGATTGGCTTTGTCTATAACTTGGTAATCTTAACAAATATTAAGACTGTTCTAAATTCCTTGGCAGTAGAAAAGATGTGCCATTAATAATATTCCTCAGTCAAAAGGTGCAGTATGAGCTCAAATCTTATTCAACATCAGAGGCCTCTTTGTGAGACTTGTTTTACCTCGAGTTTTGATCTTATTAGCATCTCAGTAATCCAAATATGAGACCTAAAGCCACAGGAAATCTGGTTTCATTATTCTGCTTCTCACCGTAGTAATTGGTTTGTATTTGCTCAATATACAATCCCATTGTCTTAATCTGTTGCAAATTTCAGTCATGCAAATTATGACTACAGCATTCTAAATTAACTTGTTTCAGTGTTCAGAGACTGTTGATAAGCACTTTATCTCTGGTAGAGTATTCTGGTGTCTCTGATCTGTGACAAACTATCTAGATTAAGGACGAAATTATCAGAAGTATGCTAAATTCAAGGATGCAACTTGAGGTGGATGGTATTTTTTTTCCGAGTGTAGTATTTAAGCATCTTTGTAAAATCTAGTTCATCTTACGCACATCTTCCATGGCTGTCTGTTGCACCTGTGAGTATTGAGATTGAGATCATGTTTGCAGAAATACAGAGATGTGTCTAACTGAACTCTTAGAAGATGAAGAAAAAACACTGGATTTCTGTGAAAAGTTTGATTTAGTTTTAGTGATTGTGCTAGCAGCCCCCAGGAACTCTGTAGTAGAGGTTGGGATGGGATTTAGTACTACTTAGTGCTTTCAGCTCTCTCATCCTCCTCCTTTTACTATTCCATACCTCATGGTTACCTACATTTCTGTTTCCGCAATAAGCGAGAGCATTCATTGGGTAATGTCTGACTCAGTACAAGTCCTTCCTTATCCCACTGGCTTATGTGGTGTATTTAATTAGTAACGTGCTTGGGGAGAGAAAAGTAGTCTGTCAGCTTGTCTTCAGGCTTCAGCTGATGCATCAGATCTGGTTTTGTTTCTGTGCTTGTAGCTTTGATTATCATAGTATGCAGAAATGTGCTTAAAACTCTCAGTTACATCTGCAATGAGACTGAGTTAATATACAAATGATTACTTGAAGCTGGAATGGGATGATACTACCCCTGAAAGGCATCGTGACACTGGTGTCCCTGTGCTCTCCCTTGTTTGTTCCTTTTTTTTTTTGGTGTATGTATGTTAGCATAAGTGTCAGGCCATAAATAGAGCAGGATCTAGTTGCAGTCCAAGTTAATGCTAGCTGGCTCTCCTCTTGTGACTTAGTTTAACCCAGGTAAGTTCCTTGGTATATCTTTTATTTGCTTGGGTAGGGTTGCTTTGCTTGACTTGCTTTGGAATGTAATTTGTAGTTGCGATGAGTTTTTTGGGCTTTTATGTTTGTCTTTTCTTTTTAACTCTGGCTTTGAAAAAGTTCATGTTTTGGGATTTTGTTGGGGGGGGGGGTTGTTTGCTTGGTTTTTTTAGTATTTCTTGATGTTTAATATCAACATCTTTCCATCTCTGAATTATTTTGGTGGTCTGCCTGTGTCTGTCCTTCCCCTCCCCCCCCCCCCCCCCCCAATCTCCCCCCCCTCCCCCCGAATTTTTTTAATGTTACAGTTTAGTTCTATTCATCTTTCATTCTTACGTTTCACATTTGTTTTTTTTTTTTTTTTCTTTTTCTGTTTTCACCAAAACCTATACTACTTATACTAAACCTATACTGTTTGGGGATAGGTGACCAAGCAGTAGTAAAAAGATAAACAGTCATTTGGTTGCTGGAGTATCTTGATCAAATGACAGTTTCCAAAGAAGAGAGAAAATTTTCAAGTCATAATTACTTTTAAATGTATTTCTCTATTGGTTATTGGAAATAAATTCTTTATGATGGTTGGTTTTACTTTGCTGCATAAAAAGCAGCATAAAATAGTAATGTAACTTCTGATGCAGGGTTAGACACACAGTTGGACATTTTTGCATGTAAATCATTATGAAAGCTGGGCTCAAGTTTAAGTGTCTTTAACTTTCTACAAATACCTGCTACCTGATGAGTTTGTGCAGAAGAAAAGAATTCTAAATGGTGAACATAAACAGCTTTTAAGTTAAAAAGAGCACCTCCAATCTTGGCTTTCTAATTTGGTCATTTCACAGCACTGCTCTGTCTACAACTGTCTTTCTGTACAATGCATTTTTTTTATGAACCTCTACCTTATATCATAGCATATCCTACTGCCTTACTGAAAATAGTAAGTCATAGTCTATACCATATAACCTGGAGCATGCACTGAGTCTGAGAAGGAAATTTGGTGATGTTTTCTAATTTTAGATGATTGAATTTCTGTTTGAAAACTGAAGTGACAGAGTTCTCTTAAACTGATAACTTGTTCCAACGATTGGCTAAACCAGCCTATTTAGTAAGTCTTACTATAATGTGTAATTCATTTCACAGTAAAAGCCTTATTTGAAATACAGAAACCAAAAATATTTTCTCAATCATACTTTTTTAATTTATAATTTCCTTTCAAGACTTACTGGAAATATGTAAATATCTATGTCGTGATATTTTGTGTCAGTGGGGCTAATTAATGCAATGAAATTATTAACTTGGCACAAGAAATGCAGTTGCATCTTCATTCAAGTCACAAGTAAAAAATATCTTGATGGCTTAATTTTTATTTTTTTTTTTCAGGAGCATAAATTAATCACAGAATCTGGCAGTTTGTGGTTTCTACTTGAGAGAGACAGATATGTATTTCATATTGTTTGGTGCTATATATATGGTATTACTCCATATTGCTAGCACTTCTAAGAAGCATCAAATACTTAGAATTGCTTGCAGGACTAAGTTGCAGTTTCTTTAAGATTATGAGTAAATAGCTGGAATTCTTTTGTCACAAGTTTTTGAAGGTGTGAATATTGTAGTTGAATGAATGAAGTTGTCCTCACATGTAAGAATGACTACAGTAGTGACACTGAGTTGTTTTGCCTGAATAAGGTATGTATAGGACTATAAGATGAGAACTGCTCCCCCCCCCTTTTTTTTTTTTATAAAAACCTTTTTCAATGGTTATTGGAAATAAATTCTTTATGATGGTTGGTTTTACTTTGCTGCATAAAAAGCAGCATAAAATAGTAATGTAACTTCTGATGCAGGGTTAGACACACAGTTGGACATTTTTGCATGTAAATCATTATGAAAGCTGGGCTCAAGTTTAAGTGTCTTTAACTTTCTACAAATACCTGCTACCTGATGAGTTTGTGCAGAAGAAAAGAATTCTAAATGGTGAACATAAACAGCTTTTAAGTTAAAAAGAGCACCTCCAATCTTGGCTTTCTAATTTGGTCATTTCACAGCACTGCTCTGTCTACAACTGTCTTTCTGTACAATGCATTTTTTTTATGAACCTCTACCTTATATCATAGCATATCCTACTGCCTTACTGAAAATAGTAAGTCATAGTCTATACCATATAACCTGGAGCATGCACTGAGTCTGAGAAGGAAATTTGGTGATGTTTTCTAATTTTAGATGATTGAATTTCTGTTTGAAAACTGAAGTGACAGAGTTCTCTTAAACTGATAACTTGTTCCAACGATTGGCTAAACCAGCCTATTTAGTAAGTCTTACTATAATGTGTAATTCATTTCACAGTAAAAGCCTTATTTGAAATACAGAAACCAAAAATATTTTCTCAATCATACTTTTTTAATTTATAATTTCCTTTCAAGACTTACTGGAAATATGTAAATATCTATGTCGTGATATTTTGTGTCAGTGGAGCTAATTAATGCAATGAAATTATTAACTTGGCACAAGAAATGCAGTTGCATCTTCATTCAAGTCACAAGTAAAAAATATCTTGATGGCTTAATTTTTATTTTTTTTTTTCAGGAGCATAAATTAATCACAGAATCTGGCAGTTTGTGGTTTCTACTTGAGAGAGACAGATATGTATTTCATATTGTTTGGTGCTATATATATGGTATTACTCCATATTGCTAGCACTTCTAAGAAGCATCAAATACTTAGAATTGCTTGCAGGACTAAGTTGCAGTTTCTTTAAGATTATGAGTAAATAGCTGGAATTCTTTTGTCACAAGTTTTTGAAGGTGTGAATATTGTAGTTGAATGAATGAAGTTGTCCTCACATGTAAGAATGACTACAGTAGTGACACTGAGTTGTTTTGCCTGAATAAGGTATGTATAGGACTATAAGATGAGAACTGCTCCCCCCCCCTTTTTTTTTTTTTAAATTCTAGCTAATATTTGTTGACAAATCTTCTAAACAAAATATTTTTGAGAACAGACATTATCTTGGTGGTGAATGTAGTCAATCTACAGCAAAGACATTTAAATTTGTCCATTGACTTTAGAGGCAAGGCAACTAGAATACATTAGGAAAAGGAAGAAGTGCTTGGTATAAAGCAGGTGGGTCTGCATTTCTTGGAGCAGCTTTCCTTATTGTTGCAGTGACGAGTCATGTTGATAAACCTTCATGGAAATGGGTCATGTATTCTAATCTCAAAATTTCCTGACTGTCCATGTAAGAGTGCCATTCTGAAGAGAGAATAATTTCTTTTCCCTCTATGAGAGCAGCTATGTTCAGCAATGGGTGATGGAAGTTAAAAGCCCTGGGGATGAGGAGGATCCTGACCACCATTTTAGAGGTTAAAAGTTTTGAGAGACTAGTGCTTGTTGCTGCATTGCTTCTACATCGTTGTAGAAATGTGTTGTAATTAATTAGATATTTTTTGGAAGTGAGGTGTTTTCCCTTTCTGTATTTTGCTGTTCGGTTTATGTTTATCCTCCAGCTGTGAGTTGCTGTAGCTACAGACTTTGGAAACACTTTCTGCCCAGAGTCCACTGCACTGTTGAAATTCTGATTTTGAAACTTGTTTAAGGGAGGGTGGTGGAGGGTGTGGAAGACTGAGCTTTGCTTTCATTATCAACCAGTTGTAGAAATTCTCCTGACTTCTGATCATACTGGCCTTCCTCTAGTCTAGACGGAGCTGCTGTGTCTTTGCTACATGCTGGTTCCACAGAATTTTCCCTCTTCTGTACCCGTTGCTCTGTCTGCTGTAGATTTGAGTGACATAGTTGCTGGTCAGGTAGGCTTGATTTGCCTGCCTTATTTCCTGTGGGCCAAAGTGAGGCATGAGGTTTGTGGCAAAGATTATCAATATACGGGTAAATTCTGTGCATTGTAGGGTTGCACAGGTAATGTACAACTTGTGTCACTTCTCTAGTTAGGGATAGAAAGACGATTGGAGGGCAGCAGAGGCCCAGCTGTAAGTAGGGCATTTGTCAGGCCATACAATAACCTGGCATACCGGTTGGGGAAATTGGCAAAGAGGATTCTGTTCCCACCTGCTTTGTTGCAGATGCACTTTTCCTGACTCAGTTAACTCTCTCCCAAAGTAGGTAGAATACTAAATGACTGTCAACAAAGAAATTTGTGCCTGTGAGGCAGTTAAATAATTCAACACATGCAAATAACTCATGTTAGCCTGCAGTGAACTTCAGTCAGTGAACATCACTGAAGTGTTTTGCTAAAAGCTGCGCCTAGATTAAGTTCATGAATAGTCCTGCTGTTTACTTCTATACAGCTAATTAAAACTGGCCAAGAGCTGTTCTCTGACTTGGAGCCTCAGCAGCATATCCCAGCTCACGTCCACTCAGCTGAACTCCTTTTTGCAGGGCAACTATGCCCCAACTAGCTTTTTGGCCTCATTTACTACTATAAACACAGCTATTGACTGCATGGCAATTGATGGGTGTTTCTGAACAGACCCTCAGTTTGGTGAAGTCTTTCCTAATCTGATGACAGCCAAATCCAAACCCTGCTGTATTGTTTCTTCTGGGTTAGATGGGAGTACTGGCCAGAGGGAAAACTTTGACCTGTGGAATTCAGCTGCTTTCCCACCTTTTGGTCTCCTAAGAAATTGGAACAGAGGGAAGAGAGCAGGATTTGGAGTGAATTGTTTGTATAAGAGTAAAGAACCAGACCACTGTTAGACTCATACAGCCCCGATTCATTCCTGGAGCTCAGTCCATCCTGTGCACTGAACAGGGTAGAGATCCTGTGGAAAATACGGCATGTGTTCATATAGTTAATGTGTCATTATGCATGTGTGCTGGCTGAATTTAAGTTTTATTTCCTATCTTTAGTGGTTCACGGTATGATTCCTTCCATTAATTTCTTTCATCAAGAATAAATTCCACTCCCTCCCCTCCCAAAAACACCAGATCTAGCTATAATACAGTTATTCTAAAACCAGGACATTTTTTCTTAATGTAGTATGTTTAATTGGAAAAAATTTGGTGCTGGAGATTTGCCATTCAGTGTTTCTGCACAGCATCTTATTGGGAGCCGATGTTTGTTTTGATCTGAATACCAAATATGCAGTTAGGATTTGTAGACTGATTTGTTTCAAATGTATTAAGCATTTCATATTTATGAAAGTAATTTGGTTTTGAAATTTTAATGTGTCTTGTCATATGCTTGAATGTAAATAGTGGAGTTCTCGGAAGTGCTTGTTACTGGCTTATAACTGTTCCTGTTGAAGCTGGACACTGTAGGAAGAGTTGGGTACTGAATAGTTTCAGGAATCCCGCTAACTAAGCAATAGCGGCTTCCCTTCAAGTGCGTGTTAAAACCTCAATGCCTGTGTTTAAAAGTGACTTCACGTTTAGATGCTAAAGTGAAACTGGTTTTAAGTTAGCCTGTGGTAACAACTCAGATAATGCTAGACGTGATACAAGCACTACAGTTGTTGTCTGATACGCAGAATGGTGTCTAGTCTTACCTGTTTCTCTTTCTGCATATGCTAATAGATTATGTATCTGTGAATGTTGAGGATGATGTTGAAGCAGTGATTATTGACCATGGAGAAAATGGACTGTCCACACAAAGCTGCGTGTCAATGGAACAAAACTCTGATGTAAACGGTGTTCACCATGTGGCTCAACTTGCCTATGGTAATTACTGCTCATTTTTATTGTGATCTAATAGTTAATGGCTAGTTTTAATGCTGTGTGTTCAGTGCTGCTGTCTTGAATGCTTTCTGTATTACCCATATCTTTAAAACATATTTTATTAGAAAGCTACTTCATAGAAATTGCTTGGCAATGCATTTAAAGAGAGGGACCTTTTTAGTTATTACTTTAGAGGTCTTTATTAATAGTGAACCTGCTGAAATATTATGTTTTAAAAAGACAGGTTTTTACTTACGTATAAAGTAAGTATACCTAGGAATGAATTACCAAGCAATTTGGAAAATAAATGTAATGGAAGAACCTAACCCCAAAAATAAGGTTTTTAGATAAACTGTCCAGTGTAATTTAGCGGAGCACTGGGGATACTGATGTGCAGTGACAGTAAGATGTTGTTTAAGGTGATAAATTATTAGCTGTGAGTAGTTTTGGTGATTGTCTTTGATCTTGCATGTTCAAATAAATACAATGAATTAAAGTCTCTCAGGAATCTTACCCAATTCTCCATTGGCCCAGACAAAAATTAATCATAGCTGTTACGAGCATTTAGTAAGTCCAGTAGCAGTATTACCAAGTTAGCAAGAAAAACGACTGTAACTAAGTGGTGGCACTTACTAGTGTGTTTTTCTGTTGGTGGTTTTGTTTTTTTTTTTAATCGGACAGTTGACTTTATAGAGAGTCTCATCAGTATTTCTCTTCAGCAGGGTCAAGTTATGTCTCTGTTTCCTAGTGTTGTTAGGTGCTTCTGAGAACCTTGAATCTTTTTGGTCTTCTACTTGACAGTAGAGTATACTGTAATTTTTTGTACATTTATGTCTAAAAACATATTTGGGGGAGGAGGATGGTTTGGATGGTTTACTTTGGGTTTTGTCTCTGTTTTTTAAAAAAACAAACAAAAAATCCTGCCCAAGAAACTGTCGTAGACAATTGCTGGCCTTGATTTCAGGACATGAGTAGTTATTTCATTATCAACAAAGGAATCATGATGAGGGGGTATGATTATTTTTTAAAAGGTAAAAGATGCTTTTGTCATCTTTGGGCTTACAGCTTCTGTTGTAGATTGTTAGCATTAGGCATTGTCTAGTTAAAATTGAGTATAGTGAGATGTATGACCAAAACATGACATAAGTTCAACAGTAATATTCCAGATAAACTTAACTCTTTGAACTGAAATTCTCTCTGAACTGAAATTCTCTCTGATTGTTTTTATTCAACCACCATCTTAGGCTAGTATCTTGTAGAGCAGTGCCTTTTCTTCAGATCTGGTTCTGTCTGTCCAAGCTAGTTTCTTTTACTTTTGTCTCATATCTTCTTGCCTACGGATACTTAGCTGGCAGAGCAAGCTCAACATCACTGAGATGCAGATCTAGGTCTTTATTTCTCCCCACCTGCTGCAGAACACTTCGATTATGCTTTTTACTTACCCATTTATGCTTTTTACTTACCCATTTATGCCCACAAACTAGGTATCACTTTTGCTGGCACTTTTTTTAGGTCATTGTGTTTGTGCCTAAATCTAAATTTGGGAAGCTAATCAGAAAGATGATTAGTTTAACATAAGCATAATATGTTTAAAATGTAATTAAACCAGGGACCTAATGTTTCTCCAGGTAAAGTGGCATTCTGGTTTGGCTGCAGAAAGTATCTGAAGTTTGAGGGACTACATTGTGCCAGAGTGTTAATCCTGCTGCCCTGCACCCCTTCTACTTTCAACATGTCCTCTTGCCTGTATTGGTGTTGGTCCCACAGAGTGCTGGCATTTCCCAGGCTCTCAGTTCTGGGTGTGCTTAGTGCTAGGAGAGGAGTGCTAGCTTGGTCTGTGTGGTGGGGACAGAGGGATGAGGTGATCTGGGAAAGGAAGCAAACTCTGGAGCTGGGTGGGAGGGTAGGTCAGTTTTAATCTTCACCTAAGAGAACAAATATTAAGTAATTGCATATGTATTTTTATTGCTCAGTTATTGATTGTGATTTCAAAACGATGTTAACCGTACTAATCTAGATCTACCACAGATCTTGCCTAGGTAGCATCTGTCAGCTCTGCTACAACTCTTGTCTGGGCTCTTAATGCAAAGAAAATTTTTTTCTAGCTTATGATACTGAATATATTACTACTTTTCTGTCCTGCCCCTGGCCCTTCCTCTTCTAGTGCATAAAAGAAAAGCAGTTGTCTTTGCTTTTTAGTATTTCTCTTAGCTTGTCCCTGTCCCATTGGATTCATTTTCTCTTCCTTCACTTCTGAGATACTAGTTCTGCTTTCCAGTTAGGCCATGAAACTCGTTCCATTATTTTGCACAGGTAGTAAGAAGTACCCTTGTAACTTTTCTCATGCAGCCCCTTTTACTTGGGAGGAACCTACTGTAGGTATCCACAAAACTTCCCCACCGTAACTTTTCAGTTTGGCCTAAGCTCCTTCACAGCAGATAGTATGGTGGAGACTTTGGTGTTGCCTTTTTGTACCAGCTAAGTTTTTCCCCCTGTTTCTTGGAAACCTTCCAAGGTCTTGTTTAGCTTCTTAAGCTTTACTTGTCTTTTAATATCTTCTCTTACCTGTACCTATACCTTGTTATCTATATAGTGCTTGGCCAGTCTATAGCTAAAATATATAGAACTCAAGGGGAAATAGTTATTTTTTTTTTCTTCTTCCCCTCTTAAAAGTGTTTTTATTTCTTTTAAAAAGAGCTGCCATAGCCCTTTCCTGAAAGTTTGAAGTAGAAACCTGTAAATGATGGACAGGCAGATTTGGCAGTAGAGATACGCCTTCTCTCTTAACTGTGAAAATCCTTTAACATTCTTCAAAAAGTAGGTCTGACAATCGTGTGGGCTTCAAAAGAATTAGGATGGAGCAGTGATAAACTGTGGTAATGGCTTTTTAACTGTGTGCCAGGCCCACACATGGAGAGGTGGAGGCATTTTGTGTACCACTTGTGGATAGTTTGTGTTTGGTAGTCCCTGACCTACACTGGCTCAACAGAGGAGATAACCTGGGGCAGATCTCTTTTGTTGCACGGTGCTTCAGTGACAAAACTGGGGGAGGCCCTGTAAGGAAGGGACAGCTGAGGACTAAACAAATGGGAACTGTTTTACATTGTGAGTGTATTGCCTGAATTTCAGTTAACTGGTTTTGTTGGGGTTTTGAATTCTGTGACTTCATACAATCAGACGTGGAAATGAGAACAGAGAATCAACAGTGAGAAGCAAGGCAAATGAAATGGAGGCTGGAGAGAATTTAGAAGAAAGAATATTAAATTGAATTTATAGTTTCAGATCTAAATAAATTGGATTAATAAGTGTTTAATGATATGCTAGTAAACAAATGTCAAATAAACAAGCAGTTTGAAAGTAAAAAAAGTGGGTGACTGTGCATGTTTTTTGTCATGAAATGTTTAATGCAGTGGGAAACCTGCTGATGTGCTTTGCTTTCTCTCCACTTTTCCAGGAAGCGAAGGCTTATCAGTGCTAGCTGAACGAGTGGCATCACAAATGAGCCATTCTGCAAGTATGCAGAGAGGAAATGGTCACAGCCCTGAAAAAATGGATTTTGTGTTTTCGCATAACAAAAGAAAACGACTCACCCCTACTCTAGTGGGACAGAATGTGGTATGTTTCACTGAACAGTAGCCCTTTGTTTTGAGGCCAATTTCAATGTTATTGGGAATGTCATTTTTCCTTCACTTTTGTATGCTCATTTGATGACATCCCAGTGAAGAAGTGTGGGTGGGATATCCATGTAGTGCAGGGAAGCTCCTAGCAAGAGTAAAACCTTGTTGTGCTGGATACTGTACATGTATATAACAACAGCTAGTGTACAGTGGAGAGTAACTTCCCATGTAGATACTCTTTATTTTTTCAGTAAAAATCTCTGTGCAATTTAGGATAGTAAGAGTTGAAACTTAATGTTCAATAAGGATTTGCCTCCATGAACAATTCTGTTCAAAGACAGACTACATATATTTTTAACTTGAGGCAGTCTGAAGCTTAGTTCATGTCACCATATTTAATTCTTAAATTCCAACACTTAGGGTGTCTTTAATGCTATAAAAGCAGTTCCACTCTGTTTAATTCTGCCTGTTGTAGAACAAACAAAACCAACACACCCCCAACCTTTCTTTTTTAAAATAAGACCTGATTAAATATGACTTAGTTAAAAAAACAAACAAACAAAAAAACCCCACAAAACAACAACAACAGATTCATGAAATCTGTGATGTATGGTGGACAGGAACTGCTCCCATCCAGTAAAAGAAAAATGTCAGAATTGTCCAGGTGGTGGCACTGTTGATTCCTGTCTAAAAGCAGTTTTCACACAGCAAGAAAATTACATCTTTTAGACGTTTTTAGAGCTTCTGCTTGCGGAGTTATACCCATTGAAATAAATACACGTTTTTTTCAAATCGATTTATTTAAATTAGTGTAAAAATCTACATGGAGTCTCATAATTACGTAAGCCTGGCTTATATATACATATATAACTAGATGAGAAAGTTCTGGCCTTAGAATAACCAAATAAAAATACATTTTATATAAATTTGCAAGAGGTTTATGTTAAACCAGAATAAGATGCTCTTAAAACAAAAGTGAGGTGAGTATGCATATGACCTAACCACAGGCACATAAATGAGATGACTGTGTTAAGTCTCGCTTTCTTGGGCCCTTTTGTAGCCAGGGGAGGGAATATACCTACAACTGAAAGCATCCAAGTTGGATTCCTAGCAGGTTGTCTCTGTAGTTTATATTTTGAATTCTTTCATTAGTCAAAACACTAAAAGTTCTTTATGTTATTTCCCAGATGAGAACCAGGGAAGGAGAATATGAAGATAGTGACAGTGTCATTTATGAGTATGAACCAGATTATGAGTGTGTAAGTTAATTTTCTTTTGTTCGACTGACTTTGAAAAGCTGCTTTGGGGATGCGTGTTTTGGGGTAGACTGAAATAACGTGTGAGGTTTGAAGTTGGGATTTATTGGTTTAATGTGATATCCTAAGACTGTGTATATATTACTAGCTTACATTCTTTTTTATTATTTTAAGAAAAAAGGGGAGTATTGTATCTGAAGCTTCCTACACTGAAGCTTCCTACGCTGGAGATCAGCAGAAAACTCTTATGGAAGTCCTCAGTTACTGCCAGGTATTTTTTTTTTTTCTTTCTCTCTGAAATGGCATTTAAACAATTTTAGTTAAATTTCAGGAAGATTTGCATTCTGTATTTGATAACCTATGACTTCATCCTTTCCGGTTGTTCATTTGTTAGTTGCCCACTTAACTTCAATATTTGCAATGAAAAAATAATCTACTTCATATTCTCTGAACTTTTCACACCATAGCTGGCAAGAATATGTTTTAAACATTAAGCTTTAATACAAAATGTAAAGTCTAGTGACTTACTGGGAGGGGCTTCACAGTAATGGGAAAGATCTGTCATACACACCCAGCTTTTGGAAGTACACAAGGCTTGCCAAAAGTGTGCCAAAATCCTGGTACTGTTGTTTTGGCGAGTTCTTTGCTTTTGACTTCTGAAGCAGTAGCTGGCAAGATTGAAAATCACTGCACTGAAAATTAAAAGCATCCCATATTTATTCAGGTGAGCACTTAAATGTGACTCTGGAGTCACAGTACTCTAGAGTGAAAGACATTCAGGCCATGCTTTAGGGAGGATAATTTGTGAGTGGCTTGTAGCCAAGTATTAATGTCTTGTAAGTCTCCTTAAGCATATATTCAGCAATGCTGTGGAAGAAAATTGACTAAGGTTGTGTGACTAACATTTCTGCTGCTAGTCTGGGAATGTGTGCTGTAGCAAGTAGTGCTAATGGGAAGCTATAGCCTCTTGCTGCCTACTAGCCCCTTTCCATCTCCTTCACCCCACTGTTATCGCCTCATCCCAGTAAATCTGCCCTAGGGCTGTATGAAGCCTTTTAATAATGTCTGTACTGTCCACACTGATTTAAGGTCTCTTAGTGCTTCCTTGAGATATTTCTAAATTTTGGGAAGATTTATAGATTCTTTTGTCTAAGGATATTTAACTTTTGAAAAGATAGCTATCATATTGAAACTGAACTGTTGGTTTTCATAGAATTTAAATTTATTTTCAATTTTATCTACTACAAATCCATCTAGCAATTTTTTTATAGCCATATGTATTTTTAAAAATTTCTCTGTCTAGTTATGCTGTAGATCAACAAAAGAAATTGCTTTAGTTAGTTGAAGACAGATTTCCTCTTTGTAACTCATGTAGTTATAATGTCTTTGTGTGGGTTTTGCAGTAATAGCTGATGACATGTGCCTAATATGTATTTTCAAGTTGGCAGTGTCCTTTCAATACTAGATTAATATTCTGTTATCTAATACCTTTATACTGTTATGGCACAAAGTGTATGTGTAAATTGCTGTGTAAGCATCATGTTTGAGTTGCTAAATCCTGGAAACACTTAAGAAGGAACTTTCTATATCGCACAGTAACGTATAGTAATAACTGATGGACTTTGAATGCTTTGATTTATCTGGCTTTTGTGCCTGAAAATTTGGGCCTTTACAGTAATACTTTTAAAAAGTTTGTACCTGATTGCTTTAGTAAGGCAACATGACTTTTTAACATCTGAAAGAAAATTTGACCTTGGGAATTGACTGAAGATCAGACACAGTAAAATAAGTAGGTTTTTTCAAACTCTTTATCTTTCATTCTGTGATTATTAAAAATGTGGGTGCAATTGATTTCAATGCCATATTTGTTCCAAAAGGCATGACTGAGTCAATTTCTCCATACATCACTTGCATCTCATTTTCACAGAAAAACAGGATGGTTGAGCTTGGAAGGGACCTCTGGAGGTCATCTGGTCCAACCCCCATACTCAAGCAGGGCCACCTAGAGCTAGTTGCCCAGGACCATGTCCTGATGGCTTTTGAATATCTCCAAGAAGGGAGTCTCCACAACCTCCCTGGGCAACCTGTGCCAGTGTTCAGTCACCCTCACAGTGAAAAAGTGTTTCCTGGTGTTCAGAGGGAACGTCCTGTGTTTCAGTTTGTGCCCATTGCCTCTGGTCCTGCCACTGGGCACCTCTGCAAAAAGCCTGGCTCCGTCTTCTTTGCACCCTCCCTTCAGGTATTTCTATACATTGTTGAGCTCCCCCTTGAGCCAGCTCCCCCTCCAGGCTGAACAGTGCCAACTCCCTCAGCCTTTCCTCATAGGAGAGGTGTTCCTGTCCCTTCATCACCTTCATGGTCCTTTGCTGGACTCTCTAGTATGTCTGTGTCTCTGCTGTACTGGGGAGGCCAGAGCTGGACCCAGCACTTCAGGTGTGGCCTCACCAGTGCTGAGGGGAGGGGAAGGATCACCTTGACCTGCTGGCAATACTTTGCCTAATGCAGCCCAGGGTACCATTAGCCACCTTTGCTGGCTCACATTCAACTTAGTAACCACGAGGAGATCCCAGGTCCTCTTCTGCCAAGCTGCTTTCCAGCTAGGTGGCCCCCAGCATGTACTGGTGCCTGGGGTTGTTTCTCCCCTGGTGGAGGACTTCACACTTCTCCTTGTTGAACTTCATGAGGTTTCTGTCGGCCCATTTCTCCTGCCTGCTGATGTCCCTCTGGACGGCAGCATGACCCTCTGGTGTATGAGCTGCTCCTGCCAGTCTGGTGTCATCTGCAAACTCGCTGAGGGTACACTCTGCCCATCATACAGATCATAAATGAAGATGTTAAACGGGATCATACCCAGTATTGACCCCTGGGGTACTCGGCTAGTCACTGGCCTTCATCTAGACTTTGTGCTGCTGAGCTCTGGGCCCAGCCATTTGTCCAGTTTCCAATCCACCTCCCACCTCGCTCATCCAGCCTGTACATCCGCAGCTTGTCTGTGAGGATCTTATGGGAGATGATGTCAAAGGCCTTCCTCATTGTCTACCCAGATTTATCCACTGCTCTACTGTCATCTACCAGGCTAGCCATTTCATCGTAGAATTTTATCAAGTTGGTCAACCGTGACGTCCCCTTGGTGAAGCCATGCTGTGACTACTCCTGGTGGTATTCTCCTGGTGGTATTCTTGTCATTCGTGTGCCTGGAGATAGTTTCCAGGGTGAGCTGCTCCATCACCTTCCCAGGGATGGAGGTGAGGCTGACTGGCCTGTAGTTCCCTGGGTCCTCCTCCTTGCCCTTCTTCAAGACAGGAGTGGCATCTGCTTTCATGCAGTCTTGGGGCACTTCTCCCATTCGCCTTGATCGATCAGAGGTTATCAGGAGTGGTCTCGCAATGACATCAGCCAGCTCCCTGAGCACTTGTGGGCGCATCCCATCAGGCCCCTTGGACGTAACGTATGTCCAGTTTGCTTCAGGATTCCCCGACCAGATTCTCTTCCACCCAGTGTGTCTTCCTTGCTGCAGGCTTTCCCCCCGGTCTCTGGGACCTGGGATTCCGGAAGGCCAGTCTTGCTCATAAAGACTGAGGCAAAGGTGGTGTTGAATCCCTCAGCCTTTTCCGTGTCCTGTGTCACCAGGTCCCCTGTCTCGTTCAGCAGTGGGCCCACATTTTCCCTAGCCTTCCTTTTGTCACCTATGTACCTACAGAAGCCCTCCTTGTTGTCTTTGACATCCCTGGCCACATTCAATTCCAGATGAGAGTTTTACTTTACAGATAGTATTTTTCTAAATATATTTCCCATTGGTGATACAGAAATCAACATTTTGGTGGCTGCCAATAAACCTTTTACCTGTGTACTTGGAAACTTATTATGACTTAAAATAGCATCTCATAATACCTAACTTACACTGAAAAGCTACTGACAAGCTCTAAGGTAAAGCAAAACATACTAAATAGGTAAAAATAAAACACCTGCTGGAAGCAGGAAGAACAACACTTAAGTGCCTGCCACATTAAAGTCACAAGAGTGAGCTTCTCTGAGAATTCTTTTTACTGTGATATTTACCATTTGTATTTGCATTTTGTATCTAAGTTGATCTTTAATATGCTTACAGAATGTATATATTATCTACAGATCTTACCCAGTTTTAGGGAGGGAATCTTGCCCTTAATTGAGCTTTCTTGATTTCTTCAGATTTAAATTGGGTTCTTGTGAAACAATACTGTTTTCACTCTTACGTTTGTTGTCAGGCCATGTATGATGCCATTCAGAAACTGGATAAAAAATTTGACCTGCTTCATCGGAAGGTCTCAGAAATGCAGCATACTCGTGTAAAGCCACTGTTGCTCAAACCTGTGAGTATTAAAGACCTAAGACATCTATTTTTCCTTTAATTCTCTCACTTCCTCTGATACTTATTTAAAAAAAAGAATCCTCTCCTTTCACTAAGATTAAAATTAGTAGCAAAGTAGTAGACTTAAAATCCATTTCAATTAAATTATTCTAGATTTCTTACTATACGCCAGCTTTGGTCTCCTGTGTTGTTATTGACCAGTGGTCACAGAATGGCCAGTGGCCCCCATCAAATTCAGGATGCTGTCATAGATGCTGTAAAATTCTATTTGTATTGGAATGAATAGAAATGAATTGTGTAGGTTGTGTCTTAAACTTGGGTGTATTGGTATTGCTGCTTTACAAGATGTGGTGTACTGTCTCATTGGTTTCTGCAGTTAGAGAGTTTATGCATCACTCACACAGGCTGGTTCTATTGACTGATTTTTAGATTTCAACAGTGTGTTGTCACATCCATTACGGTATAGAATTGTATTTTTTTTGTTAATAAAACGCCTTTTTTCAAAATTTTTAAGAAGGTTTGATATTGAGTGTACACTATCCATTTTATTCCTATATGGTCAATCCACTGTTAACTAAGGAGACAGAATATTAGTACTTGTAACAATGCTCTTTAGAAATCTGTCATGTTTTCCTTTTAAAGAAGGTCATAAAATCCATAATGACCTTTCTTTGTCAACAATACTGCAAAGCTTTTAATGTGGCAGAGGTGATCCTGCTGTCAGGAGATGTCAAGACATCGGTACGGCCATTTGCTTTAAGGGTGGGTAAAAGTGATGACATTTTCATGCATGTCAGTTATCAATAGGATACTAGGTTTTATTTGGGAATGTGTTTTTTGTTGACAACTCCAAGCTTGTGCTGTCCACACATCCAAAAATACGAGATTCAGGGAACAAACTGGTCTTGTCAGCTACGCTTAAACCCCATGACCTCTGCACTCTTACCCTCCCCTCTGATCATGTGGGATGGCAACTGCTTTAATGTTCAGATTAAAAGTGACCTGCACTGCTGCTTTTTTTTTTTTTTTTGAAAAGGCTTTTATTGCTATAAGGTGTAAGGGGGAAGCCAGCAAATGCAACCTGCCAACCATTTTCTTAGGTTCTCCTAGCACTTTATTTTTAAAACCATCAGGAATGCTGTAGATTTTTTTTTTTTAATAGCTGTACCATTGTTGTATCTGTGATGGACTAAGGGTATAAATAAGGAAGGGTTGGTGGTAAAGGTACTATTTTTTTTTTTTCTTTTTATTAGATCAACTCCAATAGCTGGAGAAATGGATAAGCTTTTAGGCATATAAGCCTTTCTTCAGGTCACAGAATTTTAAAGGTTACAAGGGTGGAATATAATCAGATTTCTGTAAACAAAAAGCAAACCCCAAAAACCCACAAAAAGAAGAACAAAACAAACAAAAAAAAACCCAAACCCACATGAGTCAGCTACAGTTGATAGCTCCTGCTCAGTGACTTGTATTTTGAACTAGAACGCGTGCTTTAGGGTGCATATGTTTCTTAATAAAAGTACTCCAAGTGGTGGAAAGCATAGCCTGTCTCTCAGTTTGTCTGTCTTGGTCTCTTTGGAATCTTCCTTTGTAGACGAGATCTGAATGTTTAATGTTTTCAGCTTGGAAATAAAGAATGAAGAGGCAGCCGGTAGAGAAAGTGAATTTTTTTTTTCTTGTTTAAAAGGAAGCTAACATGGCAGTGGAGACATCCCTTGAAAATTCAGCAGACTGGGTCAATGGCTGACAAATTTTAAATTTTATTTTGCCTATTCTTTTTTTATAGAGCTTTTTTTAAGAGCCTTTACAAAGCTGCCTTTCTCATTACATATATCATTATATATTTCCCAGGTGGAAAAAACTTGAGAAACCTTGAAGCTGACCAGATAAACTCTTAGTGTTGGAACTACAAGTGAGAATAAAAGAAAGTAGAGGGAAGGCTAAAAAGTAATAGCACTGGATTCATGACAATGACTACTTCAGTGAAGAGTCTGTTGCCAATAGCATAATTCCTAAAATCTAGTCTTCCTGGTTTACTAAAGAAAAAAATGACCAAGTATGTCTGGTTAAGTTAACCTTTTAATTGTTTTCTGAATCACATTTACAGAAACCAGTTGGATTTACATATAGAAGTTCCAGTCATTTGCCCCAAGGAAAAATAAGAGTGCAAAAATCCATGGAAAGGGAATCAAGTCTTCATCTCTCTTCGCCCGGCCAGGGAAGGCATAGCCCAGTCATAAGGGTTGCTTTACAAAATGGCCATGTTCAGGTCAATTCCACAATCAAACATGTTCAACAGAGTCTTCAGCTTGAATCGCAGCAACCTGTTCGTAGGCAGAGCCCACCACTCCCCACTATAGTTTCTACGCATTCGTTGCATTCATCATACGCAGCAGCTAACAGGATGCCTGACCTTTCTCCACGACCAAATCTTGTAGCCAGCGTTGTGGAAAGTACTGTCAACATTGCATCTTCACCAGTGGCATCGTCATCGATGCCAGCACCATCTGAGACCAGTTTGGGAAATAATGCTGTGGTGGTGAACTACAGAAATGCATCTGGGAGTGCAAACATTAGTAAAGAACTACCATCTTCTTCAGTCTCCATCAGTCCTAGCTTTGGTGAGTTCCTTTGTAATAAATACTCAGAAACAAAGGCTAAAAAACTGCTGCTAGTATAAAAAAATACGCCTAAAGAAGTCTCTCTGTCGTTATTTAGCAAAAGTAAAGGAGCAGAACTCGCTGCCTTACAAGCATTTCTATAGTGGAATACTGTTTAAAACTCTTGAAACAAAGGTCATAGGAATGTTTAATATGCCAGGGATCACTTAAAAACCTCTGCAGTATACATACAGTTGTATAGACTACCACAAGCATTTGATTTTCAGTACGTGCTTTGGGTTCTTTTAAGACTAGGCCCTCTCTTTCTCTCTTGATACTCTTGATGTAACCTATTTTTAACCTGTGTATATGTCATAAGTAATGTATGCATGCTATGCATATGTTTCAAAAGACAAAAGAGGTTGCCAGTAAAGCTAAGTGGAGGCGTATGCCTGTATACGTTTTGTATTTAAGAAAGCAACTTACCTGATTTGTGTGAAGGAAATACCTGTTTTCTTCTTGTGGAGGATTTTATCAGTGAAAAATCCTTTCTATCCTCAAATTCTGCAGTGTTTGGTTTCTTTCAGAATATTTAATTCCACAGAAAATGAAGAATTCCATAGATCATTGCATTATAAACAAGTACATATAAAATAGCACCATGTTTTAAAAATTAATATATTTCTTTCTAAAGTGTAAACGCTCTGAGTTATGTGGAAGGCTGAGCTATGAGGTTTTGGTTGCTTTTGGTCTAAAAAATAAGTTCATGCAGCTGAAGAGCTGCACGAATAGTAGGTGAAATACTCGGATATCTATCAGCGAATTTGTAAACAGTGTATGATTTAACAATACTATGTATGGATATGCCATTCTTCATGGGTCATTGTCTTGAAAACATACATGGTAACTGCACGTGTGCAAAATAGGCCAGTCTGAACATTTTGGACTCTTATGTGTCTAATGTATTTTCTTGAGTGTTACTATTTCAGTTAGTTACATTGGTGGTTAAGGTGAATCAAAAAGATACTTCTGTTACCATTCCAATTTAAAGCTGCTCTTGTTAAGGGCAAAGATGAGTAATACATAGTAGAACTAGGTGTAGTAGAGAACATATACTGAGAGTACCATAGAGGTTGAGAGAAAGTTTGAAAAAGTGTTCTTTCTTTAACAACTTGCTTGGGTTTTTTAATTTTTTTTTTCTTTAAATGTTTTTGTTTCACAAAAGAGTTTGTTGGTGACCCAGTGAGAAATGTAAAAGTTCCTGGAAACTATTTGATGAAAGCTCGGCAAAAGACTAAACCAAAGTATGCGGCGCGCTACTTAGTTCGTGTCTTGTTCCCCAAGGAAACATTATTGTGCAGCATTATGGGAGTGAGTGCACGAGGGCGCAGAACATTGGATCCAAACAAAATTGCTGCAATAAGAGGTATGTTACCTTTCAAAAGGCACAGATTTACCTCTTTAATGCTTAACATTTTAACTTACAAGGAGTCCTTTTCTCTATGTTTCTGTGAATCATTGCCTAGCAGCTGGTGAACTGATAAATGTGGTAGTGGATGTGCTCCACCCTGCTGTGTCTTTTGGTTTTGAAATTCCTACTTTGTAATTCTCAATGTTCATTTTTCTTCAATGTGGATAAAACAATTCTGACTTCTCCTAGTTTTGTGTACTTCATGTTCATCAGTCATGCTGACTTTCTAAATTTTTCATTACAACTTATTCTGTGTTTGTGTGTGGCATGGATTTTTGGGGGTTTTTGGTTCGGGTTTGGTTTGGGGGTTTTTTCTGGCCACGGTATACTTGGGATGAACGTTAACTGGTGATTCTTAAATACTCTTCTCTTTCTCTTAAGTTCACTTCTCTTGTTTGAGAAATGGTGAAGATGGGGAGGGCATTTTTTTTAAATGTCAAGCCATTTAAACAGATCGCACGGCACGTATGTGTGAACCTATACGTCTCCTTCCTGTTTAAAGGGTGGGAGATTATTTAAGCCATCTGAAGTATTTGCAGCATCAGCATTACCCTGTCTGTTATTTGTGTTGTTTTTTTAATTAACATTAGTATGATAAATCATACCTTTCCCCTAATTCTACAACGAAATGCTTAATAATAAAAGCATTATTCACAACACCTCAAAAAAATATAACTGCACATCTTAAATTCATGGTGGTGCTTAGTTTCAAAACGTGAGTTTACTATCTCTCTTTAATTAAAGCTGGAAATCTAAAGCTTCTACATGGAGAACAGTAAACGTGAAGCATTTCTTGGCTTTCTCTCTTTCTTTCTAAATTAGAATACTTTTAAATACTGCTTTTTGTCATGAAGCTTAAATTTTTTTCTACGTTTTATATGCAGAGTTTCTTGCAACTAACTTTCCAAACTATGATTTGAGCGAGCATGGAAAAGACTGGAAAACCTGTATCACGAATGTCAATGCTATGATCCGCTGTTTACGCTCTGAAACAAAAATAAACCCAGTAAGTTGTCTTAAGGTGATAATTCATTAAGTACTAAGTTTGTGCTTCTTTCTCAAATTAATTATTTGAACTCCTCATCATAGAAGTGCTCTAATTGGAAATTCCTTGGGTTCCGTCTTTGCACTGCTCAGCGTAGGCCTGCTGACTGCAGCACTACTGCCATGTGGGGAATACTGGAAGCATATGCCTTTCTCTTGCTCTGCCTCTTTCCGCTCCTGTGTCCAGCATTCAGTTGAGATGTATAAGCATAGGATACTAAAAGGAAGACACTGTAAATGTTGCCCAGAAGTAGTGTCAAACTTGATTGCGAGCTTAAACATGTAGCTTCTAGCACTGTTTTCACAGGCTTTCCTTCAGATGTATCCAGCCATTCATTTCAACTTTATATTGGCTGAAACATCACTCCCAAAACACCTGTAACTCTGTTTACCTCTGCTTCTAAAAAGCTTTGTGCAAATCTGTGAATATTTAGTATGTTTTGCCTGTGGTTTTCATGATTGAAACTCAGGAGTAACTATATTGTAAATATCTGGAATCGAATTTATACTAAATGGAAAACGAACTGGAACACTAGTTAGAAAACTGGTAGGCTTCTCCCAGTGCATGTGCTAACCTCATTGAATGTTTCAGGAGGCAGCTGAAGGGAAAGAAAAAGTGGCTGACGCTCCAGATACATCTCATTGTATAGATTTAAATTATAATGAAGATAGTGAAGGCAATTCTCAAAACTCTCAGAAAATGACCAGCTCCTCAACTGACACGTTGCAGAATTCAGGATTGGATAAGTTTCCAGATGCTTTCCACACACCTTCAGTCAAGAAACAGCAGTCTTTGGAACCTATGGGTAAACTAAGACATTTTCATCTTCTGGGGTTTTGTGTTACATTTTAAATGGTCAATGAGAGGCAGAAGATGCTACGGTAGGTGAAATTGTGTAGTGAAGGGATTTGCTGAACTATGTGACGACTCTTTTCCTCTTAAGGCAGTCGCTTGCTGTATATATAGTAAGTCTTCACGGGAGCAAACAAAACATTATCTGGCTAACAGAACATGTGTTTGCTTCTACCAATGTCCCATAATGCATATCCTCTGTAAGACTGGAAAGTTCAGCTGTAAGATATTCTGTTCAGTTTCTCTGAATAATTATTTTTCAAGAATTATTTCACAGTTGCCCTGTTGTTTGTTTTGTGGGTTGTTTTTTTTTATTTGGTAGATATTCTACCTTAATGGAGTAAGCTAGCTCAGAATATCTATTGAATGGTATTGCAATTGCAGAAGAAAAGCACGCCTTTCTGTAAAACTGACAATTTAGGACAATAAAAATCTTAAAGCAGCCTTTATACTTTTTTTTTTAAAATGCACAATATACAAATGCATTGGAAAAAATTCCATGTACAGCATGTGATGCCTCTAGAGAGCTTCAAGGAAAATGAGCTGAGATTAGTTGCCCTTGGAAATAATTTATTTGATTAGAATCACTTTGGGGCTCCAGCAGATCTGCTCCTGCACCCAAGATTTGTTAGCCTGATCCCACAGACCTCCTGATTTACTATACATTTTGCTTTTTTTTTTAATGTTTGCAGCGGAGTCAGGTTGAAGTAGTTAAATACTCACTCTGTTTTTCAGTTTCCACCTACAGGATTTAAGCACCATTGAAATAGCAGAACTCTTATTTACTTACGTAATTGGAATAGCATCATCTTTTCACGTGAGATGAAAACAATTTAGAAAGCAATCATTAATAATGCAGGTTACATTGCTAGCATTGCTGAAAGCATATCAGAAGTGCTGTTACGCTGTTGTAAAACAGGCAGGGGGTTTTGGCTACTTGGACATTCATCTGCAGTATGTTGCATTTTAGTATTAGCTGTAGCGTTATGGTTTTGCTCTGGTCTTTCCAAGCAAGTACAGTAGTTTTGGGGAGAACTTTTTGTGTCCTAGTTCTAGTGTAATACAGCCACTTTGAAGCATGGTCAGTATTGGATAAGTAAAATCTCTCTCTCTCTCTCTCTCTCTCTCTCTCTCTCTCTCTCTCTCTGACATCCTTTCTAGAACTTCTTGGAAGTCCATGGCGCAATGTTCAGTTGCCTTTCTCAGTCATTTATGTAGCTAAAGGGAAGTCTCGGCCAGAGTTGTCAGCTCGCTACCTAATTCGTCATATGTTCACTGAAGATGTGCTGGTAAAAAGCAATGTATATGGTAATCTTGAACGTGGCATGAGCCCACTGGACTGCAATAGAATTAATGCTCTCAGAGGTAAGTAAGAAAATCTCTGTTCAAATGGTAATGTGGGGAAATTAACAAGAGTGATTAACTTTGTATCCTATGAACAAACCATGGAGCTTCAGAAATAAGTCTGAAACTGTTCTGACAGGTATTAGTGCAAGCAGTGGAACAAGTTGAGAGAAAGTAGATGAAGTTACACTTACACAACTCAAGGAAGTCTCCAGATCACAAACCTGGTTCGGTTCGTATGAGGAAACTCAGTCTCCATGGCATCTGCTTGAAAGGGCAACACAGTGGGAGATGGAAGCCGTCCCAGAGGATTCTGGAGGGTGTCAGGGATAACTTCTTGATACAGGGGCTAGGTAGACCAACCAGAGGTAATGCACAGCAGGTTGTGGCGCTCTTCACAGAAACGGTTGGGGTGTGATAATCGGTGGCAGTATTGACTGTAGAGGCTATGAAATAATGGACCTCAAGATCCTGAGTAGAGTTAAAAAGGTCTGAGAGTACAGACCCTGTAGCTTAGGAGAGCAGTCTTTGGCTTATTCAGGAAACTCATAGGTGGGAGCTTGTGAGAGCTCTGAAGAGGAGAGAAGCTCAGGAAAGTTGGCAGGTCTTTAAGGACAGCATTCTGCAAGCACAAGAGAGTCCATCCTGATGCTTAGGAGAACTGGTGGAGTTATGGGGAGACAAGTTTGGCTTAAGCAGGGAATCCATAACTGAGCTCCAGTGCAAAAAAGCAGCATATAGAGATTGGAAGCAAGGACACCTTATGAAGTGGAATTTAGCAGCTTTGCTTGGGAGTGTTGGAATGGTGTCAGGAAAGCCAAAGCTCAGCTAGAGTTGAGACTTGCAAGGAGTGTCAAGGGCAGCAAGAAGAGCTTCTACCACGACATTAATCGTAAAAGATTGAGCGAGGAGAGTGTGGGCGTGTTGCTGAATGGGGCAGGTAACTTAGTGACAGCAGAGTCAGGTTAGGCAGAGGTGCTCAGTGCCTTCTCTACCTCAGTCTTCACCATGAAGGTCTCTCAGGCCTCTGGGTGGTGGTGTTGGTTGGGAACAGTCAGCATGTTTTTACCTAGGGTAAATCATGTTTGACCCACCCAATTGCCTTGTGTGATAAAATGACTGGATTTATGGACGAGGGGAGAGCAGTGGCTGTCACTTAGCTTGATTATTTTTTTAACAAGGCTTTCAACACTGTCTCTGACAATATTTTGGTATTCACGTTGGGATGTTACAGCTTGGATGGGTGGACAACGTTAAAGGACTAGATGGATGTTTGCTTGGAGGGTAGTGGGTCATGCTCTACTTGGGTGACTGACACATGGGGTACTGCAGGGGTCTGTCCTGGTACCTGGCCTGTTTAACATCTTTATGACTTGGAGAGAATGGAGAACACTCATCAGGTTTGCATTTGACAGCAAATTGGGACTGTATTAACAGATGCACAGCCAGCAGATCAAGGGAAAGGATTATCTCCCTCTGTTTAGCACTCATGAGTCTGCATTTGGATTACGGAGTCCAATTTTGGGTCCTCTAGTACAAGAAAGAGATACCGATAAAGCTGGAGGGCCACCAAAAGGGACAGAGCACTTGCCTGGTGAGGAAACTGGGCTTATTTAGCCTGGAAAAGAGAAGGCTCCAAGGGGACCTAGTAGCAGCCTGCCACTATCATTCTTCTCAGTAAACTCCTTCTAGAGTCAAGCTGTTTGCAGCATTGAACGTAGGGAGAGACCATGTGGGGAGAGGCTTAAATGGAAATGAGAGGCTCAGACTGGATATGAGCAGACTCCTTTTCCCCATGAGGGGACAGTCAAGCAGTGGAGCACGTTGCCCTGTGTGGTTGTGCCATCTGCATCCTTTTTCCACGCCTGAGTGGACAAAGCCCTGAGCAACCTGGTCTGATCTCAGTTGTCCCTGCTTTGGGCAGAAGGTTGGACTAGAGACCTCCCGAGGTTCCTCACGGCCTGAGTGACTGCGATCGGAAAGGAACGGATTCAAGTGCCTTGCCCTTCTAAGGGCTCAGAGGTCAGCTGTCCCTATTAATCTAAGAGGCTCCATTGAGAGAAAAGGGCTTGGCAAATGATTTAGTTGTTTAGAAGCTACAGGTGGTATAAGGACTGCTGCCAAGTGAACGGGCGGCATTTGAGTTAGACCAGTTTGAGCTATTTTAATAACGAATCTTTACTGAAGTGTGTCTTTTCAAATAACGTGTAACAGCCTATTCCACTGTATGAATATGGACAGTTTTGCAGTTTCCTCGGCTTACATGTATCCAGGATGTGTTCAGGAAATTGGTATTTATTCTATTTGCAAATGCTATTCCAGAAGCAGAGGGAGGGTATGTTATGGTTGGAGTTGTAGCAGATGTTTTGCCTTCTGCATTGTTCTTGCTTCAGCATGACTTCTGGAACACTGATCCATGCTCCTTCCTGAGAGGGAGTCTTCTGTTAGTCTCATTCGGTCCCTCCTGCAAGGCTGGATAAAGCAAGCAGAACTGTGACAGTAGAATTAGCGTAACAGTTATTGTAGCAAGTGAGGAGGAATGTGCAGTAGGTTGTAGGTAGAAAAGGTGTATGGGTGTCGTGATTTAACCCCAGCTGGCAACTGAGCACCACACAGCCTCTTGCTCACTCCCCTCTGGTGGGATGGGGGAGAGGAAAGGGTGAAAGAGAGAAAAAAAACTCATGGGTTCAGATAAAGACAGTTTAATAGGTAAAGCAAAAGCCGCACACGCAAGCAAAGCAAACCAATTCACTCCTTCCCAT